AGAGTGATGAGTTAGGAAGACAGAGAACAGTGCAGATGCCTCTGGTGGCATGTGATGAAAACCCAGAGTGTCACCCCACAGTGTGGGAAGACTAAGACAGAAGCTTTGAGGTCAGGACCTGGAAAGGAAACAGCACAAACACCCACAGGGAGGAGGTGGTTCTGTCGGGAAACAGCTAGGAGACAGCAGGGGATGGAGTCACAGGTGAGATCTGATTCATAAGACCAAAGTCAGACACATGGAAGAAACAGGAAGCGCCTGTGAAAATTTCACAAGAGATGCCAGCTGCTCACACCAAGGTGGTACAGTGCAGGTGTCTGGGCACGGTCAGATTCGGGAGTTTCCCTAAAGCTACAGCAATAAGTTTAATGAAGGGATCTGTATGGGAACTGAGAGAAAGGGACTGGGACCACTTAGCTGAGAACCTGAGGAATGGATCTCCACCCGCATGGTGAGGTCTTGAGGTGATTTGGCAGGTGATGTTCAAGATGCCTACTGAACAACCAGGTGCAAGTGACTACTGAACAGCTGGGTCCTTAAGCTCAGCACAGGTCACCAACTTACAGATGGGATTTAAAGCCATGAGAGCAGATGAGATAACAAGGGAGTGTGTACAGTCAGACTAGGGCAAAGACGGAGACACAAAACAAGCTGGTGTGAAGCAGCTGTGGACACAGAGGAAACCTAGTAAACAGACAGAGAAGCAATCCATTCAGTTATTAGAAAAAGTTACTCGGATAAGTGTGTGTTAAGTCTCTAAAAGGAACAGGACATGGTGCTGTACTTCTGTCATTCCAGCTATTCTGGGAAGCAGAGACAGGAGGATCATGGGTTTGAAGCTAGCCTGGACAATACAGTGTGACTCCATGTAAAATAATAAAAGGAACAAGAAAGTGTGAGGTGAAAAACAAGTGGAATAAAAAATATTTGAAGGAGGAAAGACAGTGACATGAGGACTATGGAGTCACAGGCCAACCTGACAACGGAAGTCTGTAGAGGAGCAGAAGCAAGCCTGAATAAAGCAGCATGCAGCACAGAGCCGCACCCATGAGCACACACCTCCTGCCAGCTCTCTGCAACCTGGCAGAGAGTGAGGGGGCATAAGGTCGGACAGAACTCACAGCTCTCTGGAAACAGATTTCTGCGTCTGTGGACCAGTCAGTCATGCAGCAGAGTGCAGAATGGTCACAGTGGACTCCCACAGTCAGGGAGCAGGGGAAGAACCAGCCACAGGAACAGAAGAGGTGGCACTTGAGAGGACAGTTGTGGGGAGGTGGGCCAGCTGGAAATCGCTGAACATTTTCTCAGGAAGATGGGAAACAAGGTCAGCAGCTGAGATGAAAATGGTGAAGGTCTGAGGAATGAAACATCATTCAGGAGGATCTAAAGTGAACCTAAGCTATGAGCCAGGTACATCAAGGAAGAGCTGCTGCAGGATGAGAGTGAATGCAGCGAGGCTGGTGGGAAAGGAGCTGTGAGGGCTCGCCGGGGGCCTGATCCATGTGGCCAGGATAAGGCCGAGAGGGAAGAGGACAGTGGGCAGGGAGAGTGAGTTGTGTCTGGAAGAACCCCAGGAAATGAGCACTGCATGGTGAGCAGACCACAGGTGTGAGGAATCACAGGTGGCAACAGGAAGGCGGGTGTCTGAGCAGGAGACATACAAGGACTTGAGTCCCCGCTGAGGGCAAGGCCTGCTGTTGTCACAGGCACACAAAGTAGCAGCTAGACAGAGCAAGGAGCTGCCAGAGTGCTGGAAAGGGCATAAGCAAGGATATGACTCACACAGAACCTAAGCGAGTGGGTCAAGGATGGGGAGTGAGACCACCTGAGAGAAGAAAGAAGGGGACAAGTGCAGGATCTGGTGTGGGAGAGTCCAAGGATTAGAAAGCATCAAGGGAGATAAGAGGGCACCTACCTACCAACGCCCCAGAGGGAAGCAGGCAGGGATGAATGCAGTCTCACGCAAGAGGGTTCTAGGACATGCTAAGCTGCTGTGGGGAGCCAAGTTTCTTTGACCAAGAAGGGAAAGCTGAAAATCTAGCAGAGTTTGTTAGAGGCTAAGGTTCAGTTCTAAATGGCACAAGGAGGAAGCCTGGGAGCCAGAGGAAAGCGGAAAACTGTGTCAGAAAGGGAACACAAGAGACATGGGGGGCCTGGACACCACAGAGGGCATCCAGAGCCTCCCAGCTGAGTGAAGGGACAGGACGCAGGGACACAGGGCTCTCCACACCTCCAGCTGACTAGAGGCAGCCACATGAGCCTCTCAGAACGCAGGGACCGCCATGTGTCCTACTGGGTTCTTACCTTCTTCCCCATCCTGAGACCTCAGTGTCCTGGTTCATCTGCCCTGTGCCTGATGCTTAGAACAGGGGTCACACACACAACAGAGAGGCAACAGCAGACGGAGACAGCACGGCTTCTTTGCAATACTCATCAACATTGCAATGCACATCTTTGTTTCATTTTGTCAACATATTTTATGAAATAATAGTATTAATAGGAAAAAAGACTCTCAACAGCCTTAAACTGAGGGTACCATCAAATGTCAATGAAGAACAAGAGGAAAGTCATAGTTGGCCATCCCACTATGCTGGTATTTTTTAAATGGGGCATGAAAATTCAACTCCCAGAATATAACAACTGCCACAAGCCATACTGCCTTGAAGAAAACAACTGGTGTGATTCCTACAGTAAACCACCTCTTGCCACTGTTCAGGTGCCAAGTTTTTCAGGCAATGTGAAGCTGAGCTGGGGGGAGCTACACACGTGTGCCCACAGCTTCTGTGCCGTGCACCGCATAGTCCGACACATGCAGCGTGCCATTAGCAAAACACCAGCCTGGGTGTTGTGATGAACCAGCAATGTAATGCGTATTTTTTAAAAGCATTTTACTCTCATTCTGCAATTCTTTTGCACGCAAGAGTAAAAAATTAGAACTTCCCATTTGTTTTAGAATTTAAATAATTGTTATGACAACATACATTTGACATAATACTAGATTAAATAAAATCCATGAAAATGGTTTATCCCACTAACCTGTTTCTGTGCTTTCTTTAAAACCAGTAAATCACGAAATATTGTTCTCATCTTGCTCCTCAGCATGTATTGATCAATACACTCTACTGAAGCTTGCAATTCTTAATCCATTAGTCAAAATGTCAATTTTGCTATAGTCATTTATATAATAAATATAAACTGCTTAGCCTATTATTTTCTACCTGAAATCACCCAGAGGCTAATCAACAGGGAACAGCAAGATCATAACAATCATCCCAATTCACCACTGAAGAGGGTCACTGCAGAGACTAAGGACAACCTGCCAACCAGAGCAGCTACAAATGGTGCATGGCTGACCAACATGGCCTAACACCAAACTACACTTAGCGCTCACTAAACTAAAACCTCAAATCCTTTCTGAGCCCAAGCCATCTCCTCTGCACCATTTCTATACTGGCTGGGATTTTTTTTACCTTGGCTTCATTCTGTAATACATTCAGCCCTCTAGCAAGTACTTCTCTTTCAATTTCTTTACAAATAATGAACCACTCTTGAAGAGCCAAAGGACTGAGAGAGGTTCTAAAAGGAACTTCCCTTCCTGTGGAATGGGAAAATGAGAACAGGCTACATTTTGTTTTGATTAGATTTAACTCAAATTATTTAACTCCTAAAGCACGATATTTTCCACTTTCTGATCTGTAAGTCAGAAATAGCACATACCTTAGCCTCATACATAATCCCACAGTACATGAGGCAGCTTGACACCTACTCTTTACAACTCAGACATGCTCATCTAAGTAAGACAAATTAATTTTAATACCTACTATTTTAATAAAATTTTATAAAGCTGATGGTGCTCACTTAAGTTTGTAATTCTGAAATTAAGTAAGCTTAAATGTTGAAGTAGCCTTAATAAAGTTAAGAGATTTAAAGATATATATAGTTCCAGTCTAAAAGTTTATCTATACATGATGTTACCAACAAAACCTTCTAGAATAGATACAAACCGGAATTTTTTTATCTGAGAACAAAACTGTAAATTTTATCAACACTTTTGGATTGATGATTTAAATGTATTATCTGTAATTAAAGAAAGATATATTTCTTCCTACTTCTCAATATCCCATATTTAAAGTAACTTCCAACTTATACCTGCTTTTAAAATTATGATTCTGAAATAGAATAGCCTGATTTTGGTGAGGAATGGTCCCTTTCTACTATTTTTCTTAAAGACTATATGAAAGAGTACAACAACCATTGAGAAAAGTTAATGATTATTCAATAGGTCACTCATGTATAACTATTTATTTTCTTTAGAAGCCACTTTGAAGATACCAAAGTATAGTACAACAACTATTGATAACCTCCTACCTCTTTTGTCTGTAACACATTATTATTTGTCTATTTGTTTTCCTGAGAAACTATCTTGTAGATAACAACATGTAAAACAATATATGAAAGAGTACAGGGTGAAGATCACTGCAAATTAATTTACCTACACTATGTTATTTCTCTTTTAAATTACATCATTACTCTTTTCTTCACTGGAGGCCCAAAACAATTATAAACTTAAAATTAAACAATCTTTGACATGCTAACTTGGTTAGTAGCTGATAACTAACAGTACTGCCCCAAACAAGAGAGTTGCAAAGTGACAGCTGGGCACATTTGGCCCTTCTGTGTCAAAGAAACCTGCTATCCTTTCCCTTGAAGATTTGACAGGCGGGAAATGCAGCACAGGCCTCAGCTCTGTGCCCTTGCACCTGCAAGGTGTCTGCGGAGCTGGTGGTGGAGGTCTGCTGGCCCCCAGTGGCCACTGTCTCAGTGGGAGCTGACCCTGCTGGTCACAGCTCATCCTCAGCAGCTTCTAGGCAAACCCCTTTCACAGGGAAGTTCTTTGTTATCCTTAAGCCTCTGGGAGGTTTAGATTTCTTTCCCCTTCAATTATTTGTCTCTTTTGATTAAAATACTTTTTTTTAATCCTGCTCTAAATATACACATACCATTTAGGCGTCTCTGGAGTGCTTCTTCCTCCAGGGTAATAATATAAATTTGCTCATCCAGGTCTTCAAGAATCTAAATTTAAAGATAAAACTATTCAATAATGTAACATTATAAAGTCTGTGCTTACAAAAATGTTTAGGCTACTTGGTCTATTATTTTAGATAATGTATTCACTGAAATAACTAAGAACCCAACATAAAAATGCTCAAATCAATTTTTCATAAAGTATACTTCCCAGATTTTATATTTAGTATTTTAATATATAACTAAACATCAAAATTTGATTACTTTAAAATCTACATATATTTAAATTAGGAGCTGGGGGGCAGTAGTTGAACCCAGGGCCTTTGCACTGAGCTACATCCCCAGTCCTTTTCTTTTTTTCTTTTTTTTTTTTTTTTTTAAGAGAGTTTAAGTTGCCCAGGCTGGGCTTTGAACTTGTGATCCTCTTGCCTCAACCTCCCAGAGTACTAGATTTACAGGTGTGCAGCATCAGATAAACTGGGTATTTTTTAAGTTTAAAGGATTAAAATACAGAATTCTCCAGATTTCTTGATAGCAAACAAATGTATAAATTTTAAACAGACAAAAAGCTAAAAAAAAAAAAAAAAAAGAAGAAAATACATCTTTATGCCCTGGCCATTATTTTTGAGCTAGAAGGAATAGATCATCTAATCTAGCCCAGTGTTTGTTCTCCCATTTGTACTTACCTACACAATGAGTATCATGTAGTCAATGACACATGACAAGACAAGAAACCTATAAAGTACACCAGTGATGTGCAGAACCTTCATCATTATATACTGGAGGGACTCCATAAATGGAACAGTAAAAACAATTCAGTGTGGACATGACCAATGCAGGACACATGAATGTACAGAAATATCACAGTAACCCCCATTAATGTGCAATTAATATGTATTCAAGGTTATAATTTTAAAAGTAAATAGGTTGAGAACCAAAAAATAATAATAATAAAAATAAAAAACCAAAAAGTCATCCAACAGAATCCTACTGAAATGGTGTGTCTATATATAAATCATTCACTCCCATGCCATTCAACAGCAGAGAAAAAAAATACTTCACTAAAACTCACCAGTTGTATGGGTATTATCTACACTGTCTTCAAAATTGAGAAAACCTAAAATTCATTCAATTCTAGCTTTGTTAATACAGCTAGCTCTCTATGAGTGGACTTTCTCCATCTCTCTCTCTCTTCCCAGCATTGGGAAAAATGTTAAAGAAGCCAAGAACCGATATCAGTGTTTTCTATCATTCAAACATTACCAACTTATTCTCAGCAAAATACATCTGTGTGCCCTTTCAGCTGCCTGATGAGACAGTCTCAAATCATGTGGTCCCTTTTTCAGGATTCAAATTTACACAGTTCATGTGAAATTTATATCAAGCAATACAAAAATTCACAATCTTTCAACAAATATCTGAGGTCCCCTGTGGCCTAGCACTCAACTAATCTCTGGTAGACATACTATCTCTACCCGTGGGAAGCCTAAACCTGAGAGAGAACAAATAGTAAGAATAAATTAATATAAACAAATGCGTAACAACAGAGAATGCTCAGCCCACGAGGGACAAAGGAGAGGAAGGAAAGGGAAAGGCCTCTCCAGGGACAAAACAAGCTGTGTGGGCCAGAGCAGGTGATGGTCCTGGGTCGGGGAGAAAGTGACCCACTGACAGGACTGACTCGACAACAATAAGAGTAGGGGAGCCCTCGACAATGTTCCTACGCGTAAGAAGGCAGGAACCCCATCTTTGTGAGCCATGAAAGAAGTTTCTTGCCATCTATGCTTCTCCTCATTTCTACTGTTTGGATGAGAACTGACCATTTTTATGTCAAATGGACTTTTATCTCACTGTACAAATTATCACATAACAGACACCACCTGAGATGTCACGGGCATGTGTGTTAAGTGCCTGTGACATCACCCCCCTTGCTTTCTATGACTCTGTGAGAAACAGACTGTCATTACCACTTTGTATTCCAAGAAACAGAAGTTTCCCAAAAGGCCTCCTTTTATAACTACTATGGCTAATGGGGGCTTAGATGCAGGTAAGACACAGTCCTGACCTCAAACAGTACCAGAAGAGAGAAGATGAATTAAAAAGTAATTATAGGATTAACATAAATGTCAAAACTGAGCCTTAAAATGTTACAAAACATCAGAGGCAGAAAGATTACTTCCAGTAGAGGACAGGAGAGTCTGGCCTGTGTTCCTGCTGGCTGCAGCACCTCACCCAAGAGCCTGAGTTGCCAAGAGGAGGCAGGCACTGCACGCAGAGGAAGCCAGGTGAGAACACAGACATGGAGAGTGCAGGGCCCCTCAGCAAGAAAGCAACTGTATAGCTCTGGGGCTCACAGAGGAACACAGCAGTGCCCCACAGCCTGGCCTCTGAAGCCAGCCTCAGGGTTCAAACTGGCCCCGTCATATGGCTCTGTGAATCAGGACACACTACACAACCTCCTGAACTAAAGTGAACTCAGACCTCAAATGAGAACAAAACAAAGTTTTGTTTCACAGAGGTTGAGTCCACAGAACCATGGAACCCCACTGGTGCTCAGCACCCCCCGGGTTACCTCCACGGTCTCCTCGTTAGAACTAGATGCTGAGGGGCACGTGGAGAGATGGTCCAGAGTAGAGTAGTAACTGAATGTTAGATCACAAACAGAACCATAAA